GGTGCTCTGAAGAAATTGTCCTTTGGGCTCAGAATTGGTCTACTCTAGATCATATTTTTGATCCAGTCTCTGTATCATTTCTCATTGTACAAAAGATTTTTTTTCCAAAAAGGAACCCTCCCGTTTCTTTTGAAAATGTTTGCCACAGGCCTTAGCTCAGATAACAAAAAGCACTCCATGACAGTCTATCTGTTTGCCTTTTGCCGGCATGGCTGGAAAAAGAATCAAACTTTAAAGACTCACATTCCGGAAAATCATGTCGGGAGTTACCAGGAACATCCCTGTCTGTAGCCCCACCACCCAGAAAAGATGGAAAACCCATCTTTTGATCGGCCTTCACATCAAATGCTAAAATTCCATCAACAGTTATTAACTGCGCCATTTCAATTTAGCATCTGACCTGACATCTTGAGCTGTCAATCAAACTGACAGCCCATCAAAGAGCTTCAAAGTGGACCGCTGTAAAAGATAGCCTTGGCTCAGGCAGAGGTGTCTGTGTGATGAATATATTTTGGAAATTGTTTACATTTTTATTTGGACAAGGATAAAAAAAAGTAAGAGATGGATGAGTTGCATGCTGATAGATATGATGTCTACATTTTCAGGCAGAACTTTTGGTGAACATTTTCCAGTGTTTCAGTTGTTATCATGAACTTTTACCGATATTTTGAGGCTCTTGCGCTTTCTTCTGTGGAAAAATTGTTTACCTATTGCTTATAAAATTCCATCCTATTCTCTGTTTCTCTCTCTCATTTCTTCCTTCAATCTTTCCAAACGTAACCATGTAACCAAATTATCTTCGGTTGCATAATAAGGCTATTATAACAGTAACCATAGCAAATACCTGCCAACAATAGCAATCCATCATTGTGTCACAGGTAAAGAGGATTTGATGAGGTGTTAATTATTATAACAGGACTTGGATGTAATTCCAAGATTTTAGGCTGGTGTGACTCACTAACAATAGGTGTATTTAGGGGGGTATGGAGACAAGTGACACCAAATTTAATTATGTGCTTTGTACTGGATGTCAATGATTTAAAACAGTTGATTGACATAAGCATAGTTCCCAAAATGTGTAGTATCAGGCCAGTAGACTGGGGGTTGGGGAGGGGGGGGGGGCACAAAGAATTGCCCTTTTTGCTGGAAATGGCTACTCTGAATCGAAATTTGACCTAGGTTCTAATATATGCCATATTTCACTTTGGGTCAACTATACGGGGATGCAAAAATCCACTTTTTCAGAACCAGAAATCAAATGTTAGCAAGTTATGATTTAGTCAAAGCAAACACATATGATATTTATCCCAAACAGACCATTTAATAACACCCAATCAGAGTCTGGTGACTGAGCATTTGAACTGTGTTATCACCCTGTGATGTTTGGTAATGTCATTTCAGTATTTACCTCGTCACTTACTGTGCCTTTTCACACCTCCCACTTGGAAAACATGTTCTGTGGTGTGATATCTCTGAATGTTGATGTTCTAATAATAATAAACTCATGTCTATCATCTTTGAGACTAGGAAGCATCCACAAGCACAAAAGCATCTACATGGACATTTTTTTAAAGAGGCAGTTTTGCAATGTAAACTGTATTTGTTTCCATTGGACATTTATACTTCTTCAGACTGGAGGGCTAGATATGCTTTTGTTATTAATATGACCTGTGACAGGAATGGGAGTGGATCCAGAATTTCACTGAAAGGGATCAGTTTTGAACCCACCCACCCCCCTCCCCCCCTCTGGTTGCCATTTGAACTGGGCCCCATTTTGAACCTGGGTTTGCACTCTGACAGAGATTGAGGGACATTTTACATTATGGAATATATTATACTGGTTTGTCCTCACCACCAACGCGTTTGTCTTTTTACCTTAACCACCTAATGTACCTATCATGTGATCATTATTGATAAAAAAGGAAAAGAGAAAAAAATTGACTTTATTTCTGGACTGACTCAAAGCCTCCTGACTGACTTTTTTTTAATGCATGAGTGGTTTTTGGTGAGTTCTTATATATTAAAAAATCATCACTGTTTAAGTTTTTTTTTAGTATCAAGTAAAAACTTTCAAGTGGTTTTTAAGAAAACAAGGATTTTTAGAATATAAGGATTTGCTCTAGTTTAAAACTTGTCATTTAAAGAAATTTAATACATTTAGAATAACTNATTCCATCCTATTCTCTGTTTCTCTCTCTCATTTCTTCCTTCAATCTTTCCAAACGTAACCATGTAACCAAATTATCTTCGGTTGCATAATAAGGCTATTATAACAGTAACCATAGCAAATACCTGCCAACAATAGCAATCCATCATTGTGTCACAGGTAAAGAGGATTTGATGAGGTGTTAATTATTATAACAGGACTTGGATGTAATTCCAAGATTTTAGGCTGGTGTGACTCACTAACAATAGGTGTATTTAGGGGGGTATGGAGACAAGTGACACCAAATTTAATTATGTGCTTTGTACTGGATGTCAATGATTTAAAACAGTTGATTGACATAAGCATAGTTCCCAAAATGTGTAGTATCAGGCCAGTAGACTGGGGGTTGGGGAGGGGGGGGGGGCACAAAGAATTGCCCTTTTTGCTGGAAATGGCTACTCTGAATCGAAATTTGACCTAGGTTCTAATATATGCCATATTTCACTTTGGGTCAACTATACGGGGATGCAAAAATCCACTTTTTCAGAACCAGAAATCAAATGTTAGCAAGTTATGATTTAGTCAAAGCAAACACATATGATATTTATCCCAAACAGACCATTTAATAACACCCAATCAGAGTCTGGTGACTGAGCATTTGAACTGTGTTATCACCCTGTGATGTTTGGTAATGTCATTTCAGTATTTACCTCGTCACTTACTGTGCCTTTTCACACCTCCCACTTGGAAAACATGTTCTGTGGTGTGATATCTCTGAATGTTGATGTTCTAATAATAATAAACTCATGTCTATCATCTTTGAGACTAGGAAGCATCCACAAGCACAAAAGCATCTACATGGACATTTTTTTAAAGAGGCAGTTTTGCAATGTAAACTGTATTTGTTTCCATTGGACATTTATACTTCTTCAGACTGGAGGGCTAGATATGCTTTTGTTATTAATATGACCTGTGACAGGAATGGGAGTGGATCCAGAATTTCACTGAAAGGGATCAGTTTTGAACCCACCCACCCCCCTCCCCCCCTCTGGTTGCCATTTGAACTGGGCCCCATTTTGAACCTGGGTTTGCACTCTGACAGAGATTGAGGGACATTTTACATTATGGAATATATTATACTGGTTTGTCCTCACCACCAACGCGTTTGTCTTTTTACCTTAACCACCTAATGTACCTATCATGTGATCATTATTGATAAAAAAGGAAAAGAGAAAAAAATTGACTTTATTTCTGGACTGACTCAAAGCCTCCTGACTGACTTTTTTTTAATGCATGAGTGGTTTTTGGTGAGTTCTTATATATTAAAAAATCATCACTGTTTAAGTTTTTTTTTAGTATCAAGTAAAAACTTTCAAGTGGTTTTTAAGAAAACAAGGATTTTTAGAATATAAGGATTTGCTCTAGTTTAAAACTTGTCATTTAAAGAAATTTAATACATTTAGAATAACTAAGAAATCATTCTAAATGAAGAGATACATTAATGAAAAGCAAAACATTTTGACACATTTGAAGTAAAAGTTAAAAAAGGGCATTTTAAAAAAGCTTATTTTTAGAAATACAGGGATGGTGTAATAGAAGATAAAAAGTTAATTCAAAGAGAAAGACCAGAGAAGAAAAGAAAAAGGTATTAAACCTATCCACCTACGGTGAGTGACACTGGATACCCCGTCACTCCAATCTTCCTTCACTGACAATCAAGACGAGATGAGTCAACTTAATATAACAACTGATTGCATTATTTCCCCTGCACTTAAGGTCTTGGCTCCACTTTTATAGGGAGAATTGTGTTATTTAATCTCTCCATCAACTGTCAGGGGAGTGAACAACTGAAATGTCCCATCCTAAGAAGTACAAGTAGTAGTGGTGCTGGCTGTCTGGTGTAATTGGTTATCCAGTCTCATGGCCCCATTGTGTAGTTTAAGGGACAATTAAGGGACACATAAAATTATATGATAATACCTCAGATGTCAGGGCACTTACTGTATTCTTTGAGAGCCATTTGAGGGTATTTTGATGAGCGAGGACTGTTTTTCACCTATCTCAGGTGATAGTGTCACCCTCTGTGGTTTTGTCCATTAAGTGACTGAGGCAATAAAGATTTAGTGGAGTAATAGTCTGTACCTGTTGAATTGCACTACCTGTCACCCAGATTTACTGCTGTCTCTTAGGTATTGTTGTCAGGAATTGATGGCACTTAGCAGCACACTTCTTAATGAGTTATTAAGAGACTGGTTGGATAGAGTTGCTTAATAATGGATGTTGTGGTATGTGGAAGGTTGTGGTTATAAAAACATTGCTTTTGTGATTGTAATATTAATGTTTATAATTGGAGATGGCTATCTGATTTATTTGAGGTTGTAATTACTGCGACTCTCTCTCTCTCACACACACACACACACACACACACACACACACACACACACACACTGCATACACCAATACACCACACACACAAACACACACACACACACACACACACACACCGTGAGCAAGCCAGCTAGAGCACATATTACCAAAATTTTTCATGTATCAGCATTCAGAAATAAGAAGTCCATCTGGCAAAGAAATGTAAACTTTAAATAATCAGTTTGTAGGAAAAAGTAATGAAACAAAACAAATTAAACATGACTTCTTCCCACTTTATCAAAAAAAAAAAAAAAAAAATTTAAAGAAACCTCCAGGAACACCAAAGAACAGCCTGTCCCCCCTTTCCAAACTTGGAATAACCCACTCTGGCTTAATAGGCTCTCGGCATGACTTCCTCCCCACCTCAGAATGGTATTGACCCAATATAATGAGATTAAGAGGATAGTATGCTTTGCGTATATTCCAGGTCTTACAGTTGCCAGAGGAGGTAGATCGAGTGAGAGCGAACGGAGACTTTGGAGGTGTGGATAAATAATAAGTAAGCTGTATTCACGCCAGAGCACAGAAAGATCAAGGAGGATAACAACACCAAATTGGATTTAACCCTTTCAAGGTAAGCCCCGTTTTTTTTTCTCAAATCTTGGTGAAATCTTTGATTGTTTATATTTACTGATGCCCACCCTTCGCTGTACTTGATGAGTGAAACCCAAGGTTGGAGTGGAGTGTTACAGCAGTTTAAGGTGGATATTGTTTATAAGGAAATGGGAGGAAAATATTCAAGACATAGTACAGCATAAATATATTCCTTGGAGGCTTATCAGCGAGACCTAAAGAACCTAAGATATGGGTCAGTGGAGGAAGAGACAAGTTACTGATGATGTACAGGAGTTCCGCATTCAGTTGTTTGATGTTGGAGATCTTTGAGACTTTTTCAACCAGATAATAATAATAATATTTATCAAAATATATAAGCTATGTATGATGACCATGACTTTTTTGGGGGGATAAGGATACATTATTAACATTTGTCCCTTTTTTTCTCTGGATACAACAAAATTGATTTCAAACCATTTATGACAAACTAATCTATTCAGACAGTGGAATCTGATTAGAGATGGAAGTGATTTAAGTACTCTGGCATAGGTGAATGTATCCTAATGATTTAGTTGACTTCTTAAGTCACAGGATGTTAGGATTATGGTTACAGATTGGTAATAAGATGCCAGCAGTATCATACCTTAAGCTAAACACAGCATAGCTTGCGGCTCATCTATTTATCATATCAGAAAAAGGTGAAACTTCCATTAAGCTGCTCAGTGCTTTAATGCTATGCTGAATGCTTTGTTGGCTTTCTGTGTGCAAATGCTGTGATATGTCCAAAGGTGTTATTACTGTGCTACTAGTGCACTTTGAAGTGTACTTTTTTCCATTGGGATTTTTTTTTTTTTTTTTTTTTTTTGTGTGTGTGTGTGTGTGTGTAAAAGTAAGAGAGATTTAATCAGGTAAAATTATAATTAAAAACATCATTACTGTATCTGAAATTGCCCTCCTGAAGTTTTCCTCAAATGACACAATGTTGTCTTTTGTAAAAGTGGCGTTGATATCACAAAAGACTTCAATCAAGATGAGATGCAATTAAACCCCCTCATTACTGCACAGGGATATAGTTCCATCTAGATTGGCCGAATGGAACAAAGAGAGCAAGGTTCTCTGGCAGAGGCAGTGGATGATACGATACGACTTTCATTCATGTGGAGAAACAATAAAAAGCTGCCATGAGTGGACCACAGGTTAATAATTTTGCTGTTCCTTAAACCGGTGGTCAAGCCACTTAATGGACATTATCAGCAGGAAGATGAATGGACCGTGGAACACCTTTAATGAGGACCCATCATGAAACATTGTAACTTGACAACTGCACTTAAAGAGAACCCTTCTTTTTGACATCAAATAATTAACAATTGTTTTGGACATGACTGGCTGAAATGTCCATTAGCGTAGGACCATTATGGCCATTGGTTTTAATTGAAACTGACCACTGGGGATAAAGTTATTGCGACAAGACTGCAATGTTAATGCAAAGTGAGCAATGTAAATGAAACATGTTGTTCTTTTGATGTCTGCATAAATGCCTTCATGAGTGGTGTTGTAAGTTGCTGCAGGTTCCCAAATTCACAACAATAAGAGTTAATGGATATGTTTGTTTGATATTGGACATGGTTGTGGTATTTTAAGTGGTCAATGGATGACCACTGGCATTTTGCTGCTGGCACAATTATGGTATAATATGGTCACATGCCACTCTGATATAATTCTAGATATCTTGTCAAGTCACCATAGTGCATCCATATTTAAAAAGTGATCATTTTATATTTAAGAGGGACCTGTTCTTCAGTGCTTGTATCATAACTGTATAGGATCACTAATTTGCCAAACATTGGTCACACACAAATTTCCCTCCTCATAATACAGAAAACTTTTGTCAAACACCACACTCAAACATAATTCTTACCTTGGGCCACTATTGATATCAACAAAGCAGAGAAGAATCAATTAAAGAATGTCTACACCATGTGTCCACTATAAGTTTGGTATATAAATAAAGAAGCAGTGTTTGGTTAATATACAGAGAAAGTGTAAAAATATTGAGTTCTTGGCAAATAACCATGAGCAAAGCTGAGGAAGTGGTCACCTCTGGACATCCAGGCTGACCAAGGTCAGTTGGGATGGGGCGGAGGTGAGTCAAAAGATTGATGTTTACTCTGGGTCAATAAATCATACTTCGTTTAATCCCTTTAACCCATATATTTTGTATTTCGAGATGGGGAGAAAGGTTGAAGAATGGTTGTGATCTGATTATATCTATAGGACATATATGAGAATGAAACCCTGAAAGCTGCACTTGGATATAGAAAAAAAGAGAAACTGATTTCTGTAAGGTTTCACTGTCTGAATCACACCCAGCAATTCAAAGAAAAACAAGGAAGATGGTGGAAAATACCTGGAAATGGTGTCCATTAGTCTGTGACTGAACCCTGCAAACACATGCTGCTGCGCCATTAGATATATGACTGCGAATCCATTTGTATGGCATCGTGACAATAGGCAAGATTGAATGGAGAAGCCATAAAAGTCAGCGGGAAGTTTGGAATGGTAAATTACAGCTGTGCCTGGTCGAAAAGACAGGGATGGTGAGATACTGGGTATTTATACAAAGTCCTTTCTTTCAGTGCAATGGTTAGAAGTATAGTTCACTATTATGATGATAAAAGACAGTGCTTAGTAATAGCAACTTGGTAATAGTGCTCACTAGGAATGAATGTTTTTGGCAGGTTATGATGCTTTGAAATGTGAAAAAAAAGAATGAATGAATTTTATGACATTGTCATTGTACTACTTTACTACATAACTTATTAATAAATTCACTCAAGTAGTGCCATGCCCACCGAACTGTGAGTGGATCGCAATCAGTATTGAAGAATGGGTGTATCATATTTATTAGTGACTGCTGCAGTGACATCTTTGTGATAAAATATTCAGTTTACTTAGCATAATTGTTGTTCTGTGTCAGATATTTCATCAAAATCAAGCTAAATTGTCATAAATGATTAATTTTTTAACAGTGAAAAATCCACTCTTGGAGCAATTGATCCTAGATACAATATTTTGTTACTTCATGCATGTTAAAAGCCACTAAAGCAGATACTAGTACCAAGTAATGCACCAGCCAGTTGAAAATTAACAGAAAATGCTCCCACAATATCACTTCAAACGTTTCCAGACAGTGGGTAGATGTCTGAGTTTCTCCTTTGCACAGCTGTTCATTAAGCAGAAATTTTCAGTCAGTGTGTTAGACACATTTTCTCAGACCCTGCAGAAAGAATCATCAGCTGATTGACCATGTTGAAACTATCTCCCTCTCTGCACTGGTAGACAGATGTATGCAAGATTAAGTTAGGTATTTTAGTGGAAATTTTCTTCCTGTTTGTTCTTGAAATGCGTTTTTTGAAAACTGGAGAATTCATCTTAAGACTGTCTGGTTTGTGAATAATGACTTGCCACTTTTACACAACCAGATGGTTTAGAATTTGTAATTGGAAAGTTAAGATAATTTTTCTACTTTGGAAGACACTTTCTGAAAATGCAATAAAGAATTCATGGAACTGGTTGGTTTTGCACCATTTAGACTGAAAAATTGGCCAATACTATGTGCGCCTCTTCCTTGAGCATTGTAGACTTTGCTGGAACTAAGAGATCTTCTCTAAAATGAGCAGGTTGCTGGAATCTTAGCACTGTGTTCATGCTTTAAGATATTTCAAATCTGTTAAAAGAGTTTCTTGTGCCATTTGGTACATACATATATCGTGATGAACTTTCAGAAAGTGCCGCGAATCAGTGGGTGAAGATACCATACTAAGCCTATTATTCTCTGTAAACAAAATTTGACTCCAT